GGAGGGGCAAGGGCTGGGGTGAATGGTGCCCCAGGGCCGGGGCAGGTCGTGGGATGCTCGGAACCCAGGCGGCTTGTCCAGGGGCGTGGGGGGCTCCTGCCACTGTGCACACCCCAAGAGAGGCCCCAGGGGGCACATGCCCCTGGATCTGTGTGCAGGGAGGAGGTGGGCTGCCACTGCAGGCTGAACTCTACTTTTCCTAGGAACTGGTAAATGCACATCCTATCTGAATGCACAAGGATATTCTCAAACAGATTACAACAACTTGCAAAATCTCTGCTTCAACATATTAATGTAGGGACACATTTTGTGTGCCCTGCTGTACAAAGTAATCTTGGTCATCTTTCTAGGAAATATCAATATAATAGCACCTTCCACTAAGTGACCATTCACACTTATGGAAGAGTGAAATCAGTGACACTTATTTCTAAATATTGTGAAACAATAATATAGATGTAGATATAGATATGAGTATATTTATTACACATAATTATACATGACCAGAACATTCTCACAGTTCCACTGATATCACTAGAGTGAAGCCATGTTGTATCATCTGAGAATCTGCCTTTATTTTTACTAATTACTTACTACACAATTATTAAATGGATCATAACTGATTCCTTCAGAGTTTTTTTAAAGGATTTCTCTAATTTAACTTTCACTGCTGAAGTGAATATTGTAGGTATGGTGCAGGGGGGGAGCTCAAGTGACTCTAATTCAAACCTCTCAGTAAAAGTCACCGTAAGAAACAGCAGGAGCGCTGACAGTGAGAATCTCAGGGCTTCTCCAGGTACTAGCCTTAATATAGGCAGGGACAGATCCAGTGGGTCATTGCAAATGCAAATGCACTGCATTCAAATGCACTGGTACATTTGAACCTCCCTTTGATTCCTGCTCCACTCAAAATTTAAAACCACTGTCTGGCAGTGGCAGCAGCATTTCTAGCTAGGCAGTGCTGAGGAAGTCAATTGACTTCATTGTCTCATTGTAGTCTACCTGATCTTTTCCAGGGGTGTTAATGAACCTCTCTTCTTTTTAATGGTCTTGTTGTTCCACCAATCAAGTTATCCTTTGTTCTACAATTCTGCTGTCTGATAGCTGTTCCTGGTAATGAAGCTCCTATTTCACAGCCCTGCAGATTGTTTTTAACTCATTCCAATGAAGTTATATTTGGTTTTGCTTCAATCTTAAACTGAATAATAGAGCCCTAGGCCCGTAGCATATTAGTAAAGCTTCTAGTTCCTTTTTTAACTGGCAAAAAATGTGTTGTTTTATATGTGATGATGCACCACATCCTCTGCACCTCCCTTTTCAAAATCCTAGATCTGTCCCTGAATATAGGCATAACTGAGTGAAATTCTATGGCCTGTGTTACACAGGGAATCAGACTAGATGATCAATGACTAGACCCCATTCTAGCTTTAAAATCTGTGATTCTCTGCTTCCCCAGTAAGATACTCTGTAATCAATAGTCTAGGAGTGTTGGCTGGCACAGAAGAACATTTTGAATTCACTTCAAGTCTGGAACTTGGCTAGCTGGAAACATCCAAAGGATGACTTGTTATTAAGCGACTGCAGCATCTGGCTTTTCAGAGACTCCCCTGAAGACTACAAAAAGGCACTGAAACTATTACACTTTGTTTTTTAAATGCAAAAAAATGCTCTCTTTTCTCTAACCTTTCTGTTCTTGTCAGATTGTGTTTGCCTCAGTATGCAGCATGTACAATATGGAAAGGAGAGAACACGCCCCAAGGGAAGGGGAAGAATCCTCATACCAAGTTTTCTTAGAGAGTAAGACTCTGGAAAGATGATATGTTTACATCGGTATAAAAAAGGAGTGAACAGATTATGTAAACCCCTAAATTGGAGTAACTTCACCCCATCTGGTGGAAAGAAGCAGAGGTTAAATTCTACACCATTTGAAGTGCTGTCTGCCCATGTCCACCCTCAGGTAGCTTTCTGTTAAAGGCAAACAGTCTTACTGGTCCCCCAAAGCCTAGCAGTGAGGCAGTTAGAACCGTGTATTGCATGCAGCCACTCTGTGGAGAGCTACATGTCTGTCCATTGCCGATCCTGATGTCATTTACACTGGCAAACAAAACCAGAGTAAATTACAGTGGGATGTGTATTCATCTGTCCAGGGCCTAATTTGAAATATTAAATAGGAAATTCAGATCCAAATATGGGCTTTTCAACATTTATTGGAAATGCATGATGCTTCTTTTTACTGCTAATGTTTCAAAGGGAGCTGAGGAGAGACTGGATTTTCCTGAGATTCTTTGCAACAAGGCTGAAAGCTTTATTTGGGGGCATAATACCGAGAGTCACCAAAGCATAAAAAAGAGCTCCCCTATTTCCTCTTGTAAGAAGAAAGCTTCCCTGAGCCACACTTAATGGATACAAGGTTTCTTAGCCTTAGTCTCAGGTTATCTAAAATAAACAACTGTCTTTAGTTCCTTCTGTAGATTCAATCCATTCTTTGTTTACCAAAACACTGCTCATTTGTCCCTCATTACCAGACTCAAATTTTAGACTCAAATTTGCTTCTGCACCAGGTGACCTGATGTGATGTCACTCTTATTGCTGTACATTATTTATGCCAGAAATGCTGAATCATGAAGCTAAAACTATAGACATTGCACCACACTCTGAAATCCATGCCAAAGCACAGATTCTAGCCATAACTAGCCAGCTGAGAATGTCTCTAGCATCAAGACAGTAAACACTAAGGTGACATAAAGCTAACATATCCTTCTCTTATTCCACCTGATACCTGGCCCCAACACAGAGGATATGTTAAAAGGGTATATGGGAATAGGGTGGAGCTCCACATTACTACACTGACCCTCAGATAATCTGTGATCCCCCAAGAGCCCTCTACTACAGCACCTAGAGGGTTGGAGCACCCCCTAAGCTGTTCTAACGTACCCCTGAGCATGGGTTGGTGCATATCATCCCACAATATCAAAAAGTCATAAACAGCTCCCTAGTAATCTCCTCCCCATCCCTCCCTTCCACTCTGTTGTGCTGCACAGTTGAGATATGGAGGAGAAACAAGTCCAGTATTATTTGTACTGAAGTAGTTGATCCAATATTATTTAAAATATTGTTCTATTTGGAAAAGTGACAAAAATGTCACTGAAGGGCTCCATATTTATTTTCTCTCAGTAATTACCATGCCAAATTGGCTAATTTGCCAAGTAAAGCAATATCTGTTTTTGAATGGCAGTCCTACCAACTCAGCCTGAAATCTGAAAATCAAGCTGGGTTCCTTATGGCTAATGCCTCACCAGCAATAAAGATTCCACAATCAAAACATAATCAGCACCTCTGTTGATGGTGCATGAGCCAGCATACAATCTATGTCCTTTCACCTGAACTAAGTGGAACTGTAAAAAAATAAGACATTCCAGAACTAGATGGTAAAGAGAGCAGATCTGAGCCTGAATGCACAGGTTGCAGGTCTATGGGGTAAGACAATTACATGTTTATGTGTTCTTCTTTGAAGCAGGATGATACCTTAAGCTTTCTCTGTTGCTGCTTTTGAGGGGCCCTTCATTTTAAGGCTTTGTTTCACAGAGATGGAGGGGACAGCATAGGTTTGGGGGCACGGTCATATGAAGAGGGACAGGAGCAGAGTGCAGAGAGAGGTGTGGGTAACGGATCAGGGAGAGAAAGGAAAGGAGTAGATCAGATTTGAGGAGGGGCAGGAAAAGAGGTGCAGGTAGAAGAAAAAGCAAGTGAGGGGCAAAAGGAAAGGTGTAGGGAGCTATTGTTCCTAATGCATTAAGAATGTCTCTGCCTCTCCTTAGAAGGGTGGTTGGTTTTCAAACCCTGATCTGTGGAGAGCTGGTTGGTCACATCATACTAACTCCCCTCATTGTTTTTACCTGAGAGGTAGCATTAAAAGAAGCTCCAAAAATGTTCTAATATTGGTTTCCCATGTGAGTAGTCACCGGACTTGCCCCAGAGAGGTGTGATGGGACTGGGTGCATGGTGACCGAAAGCAGAGAGGTGGTAGGTAGGGTGGATCTAGGTGATGGCACATGGAAAAGATGGCAAATGGGACAAGAGGTGGACTAGGCCACACATCTAATAGCAGGTTGGGAGTAATTGGCCAATGGCAAATGGGAGAACAGGTGTTTACGAGATAGCCTAGAATCATAGAAAAGTAAGGCTAGAAGGGACCTAAAGAAGTCTTCTAGTCCAGGCCCCTGCACAAGGTAGGATCATTCCTGAATAAACTATCCTAGGTTTATCTAACCTATTCTTAAAACTACACAAATAATCTTGCTACACAGGCACATTGCCACAAAATACTAAGAATACTCCAACCTGCCACAGAGGACAGCAGGGGAATGAGGGTAGTGTTCATCTCCTGCTGCTGCAAGGGAAGGAAGTAGTCTGTTAAAATACACTGGGGAGATCCAGGGAGGACTTACCCCACATTATAGAGGAAGGCAACCCCCACCCACTGTCCACACCAATCTGACAATGGGGTAAAATTATTTCCTGATCCCAAATGTGGCAATCAGTTTGTTCCTGAGCAGATGGGCAAGACTCACTAACCAGGAACCTCTGAGTTGTTTAGTCCTAGCAGGTTTATCAGCACACCCCAAATTCCCCAGTCTTGTCTGCAGCCGACACCCAGTGCTTCTGAGGAAGGTGAAAAAAGGAGGGGGGAATTATTCCTTCCCAGCCTCATGTAGCAACCAGCAATGTCCAGAAGCCTGGGAAAAACCAAGCACTTCCACTCAGCACTACAGAGTTAAGCACTGATCCCCTATGCTGAAGAACTGGAGACCCACCGAGGCACAAGCTGGTGCACCTTTCTACTTAGGTTTATAAATGAAACCCTCTCTCTCTGGTTTTCTTGTTTCATTAAACTCCTGGCAAGGTCCATCATCTTGTGCTCTCACTGACAAGCTGGGTCTGGGCTTTTTTTAGAATCTAATGCCATAAGAATAGGGTTGTGGCTGGAACCTGGATGGATTCTCAGCTTCCTTTTCAATAGAAGCAGAGTCCTTTTAATAATATTGTGTGAAACCACTAAACAGCTCTGGAAATGAATGCAACACCTTCATTAAGACTCAACAAAGTAGGGGAACCCTCTTCCTTCCTATGTCCCACCCTACACGCCTGGCACAGTGGGTTAGGAAAGTGCAGGACAGGAAAGGGTGCCATTGGGAAGAGAAAGAAAATATTCCTCCTCTCTGAGAGAGGCCACTGACCTGAGAAGAACTGGCTGATGGAGTGAGGCAGGAGGGTCAGGAAGGCCAGTGGATTTGCAAAGGACACAGAGAGCACTGCAGAGATGTAAGCCACCCCGGCCACCAGGGAGTCGAGGCAAGCCAAGGACGTGTAGAGGCAGAACATGATGAAGTTCCGCATATTCCTGCTCCCGATGCAGTTCCCTGTGAAGAAACAGTGGTGGTCATGCCTTTGGGTGACTCTGGCACACAGTCTACAGAAGTGGGTGCTGGGCAAGGCTGAGCCAGTGGCCCTGCTTCCATCCGACCAGTCCGCCACCACTTCGGCTCCTCCGCCCAAGTTCAGGCACTGGCCCAGGTCCTCAGGGGAGTTGTGTATCACAAGGATGTAGTTGCCCAGGGCATTAGCTGAGAGGAAGAGGAAGAGGGCCCCATGCAGCAGAGCAGGAGAGAGAAGTGGGGTGGTGGAAGGGTCTCTGAACATGCTGGGGACGAAGAGAAAGAGCTGGAGGACGAAGGTCACTAAGGAGATGCACAGGAAGTAGGCTGGAGCAACAACATTGAGCAGCTTGAGCGCTAGCATCGCGCCTTACATTCCTGCAGGGGACAGCGAGAAGAAAACAAACGTGACCGCCTCAGCCGGAGACTTGCTGCTTCCATTTCCCCTCCCCGGCTCCCCAGCCTGCTCCTGGAGACGCTCTCGCCGCTTCTCCCAGTCTCCACTAAGGAGATGCACAGGAAGTAGGCTGGAGCAACAACATTGAGCAGCTTGAGCGCTAGCATCGCGCCTTACATTCCTGCAGGGGACAGCGAGAAGAAAACAAACGTGACCGCCTCAGCCGGAGACTTGCTGCTTCCATTTCCCCTCCCCGGCTCCCCAGCCTGCTCCTGGAGACGCTCTCGCCGCTTCTCCCAGTCTCCGCCTCGCTCCCCCGCCCCCTTCTGCCGCCAAATCCCCAGCGAGCCCCGGCGGGGAGGGCACGGAGCCCGGCTC